CGAAAAAATACAATTCCACTCGTATGAGGAGCTTAGAATTGACCTCGGGCAGAGTGCCTTTTTTGAAAAGCACCAGAACTGCAATAAAATTTTCACAGTTATTGTCCGAAAAATTCATGCAAAAATTTAGATTTCGTCTTAGAAACATTTTAGCAGGTTGCTCATGAGATTTGTAGATAGCCTCGAGAAGTAAAAGGCATGCGACACTACTTATTAGCCACCCTGTAGAGGCCCTTATCTGGCTAGTCTTATGATCTTAGTATTTATATTTTATCTTTTCAGAAGCAATTTTTTCATACAGCTAACCATTGTGTCTAGGATAAACACCCAATCCCTGAAGACTCAGCTCTGAACTGAGCTCTGCGAAACACCAAATCTAGTCACACTTATCATTTGGCAGAGTTTAGTTACTTTTAAGTCCTTAAGTTAAGTTTTTAACTCAAGGACCTTACTAATGAAGACAAATCGAAGAGCCGTGGTTAAATAATCAGAACGTACAAAGAAACAAAATTGAATTTCAAGCTATATTGCTGAATAGGAATCGTCGAGCCAAAAAAAAATATTATTTGGCTGCGTTTGAAAAGGGTCGAGGTCTTGAACAAAGAAGGCATTATCTCTCGCTTTGATTCACACGCCAGATCAAATTGCCTGATTTAAGCTTTAATCTGCCTTTCTGGCTGATATTTTTGGGTTATATTAAGTGAACAAAAAGCTGCATGCAAACTGTTAGACAAAATGAAGACTAGAAGACCGAGGTTTTGCCTCAAGACAAAAATTTACAGGTACGTCGAGTCACAAAACAAACCAGACACCGATCCAGTGGGTCTTGTGGCTAAATGGTGGACCTGAATGTTCATCGTTGCAAGGTATTGAATTTTTATCATAAAAGCATTCGAAATGCAGCTGTCTTACTTGCTTTAAGTTTCGGTGGTGATTTGGGAGAAGGACAAATTGAACAGAAAATGTTAGACTTTAGTCGAAAAGAAGTCAATATTTTGGCTTCTCTAAAACCACTAAATGCATAGAAAGAACGTAGCCAATAAAACGTTTACAATTTCTTTGTGTACGATCACCTTTTCCAATCTAATATTTTTTTTAAAGAAAGTTTCAAAGAAAGGCAGATTAAAGCTTAAATCAGGCAATTTGATCTGGCGTGTGAATCAAAGCGAGAGATAATGCCTTCTTTGTTCAAGACCTCGACCCTTTTCAAACGCAGCCAAATAATATTTTTTTTTGGCTCGACGATTCCTATTCAGCAATATAGCTTGAAATTCAATTTTGTTTCTTTGTACGTTCTGATTATTTAACCACGGCTCTTCGATTTGTCTTCATTAGTAAGGTCCTTGAGTTAAAAACTTAACTTAAGGACTTAAAAGTAAATAAACTCTGCCAAATGATAAGTGTGACTAGATTTGGTGTTTCGCAGAGCTCAGTTCAGAGCTGAGTCTTCAGGGATTGGGTGTTTATCCTAGACACAATGGTTAGCTGTATGAAAAAATTGCTTCTGAAAAGATAAAATATAAATACTAAGATCATAAGACTAGCCAGATAAGGGCACATAGAGTTCAAAAGTTGGACTAGTAAAATAAAAACTCTGGAAATTGGAAAGTCGGGAAGACTAGGGCTAGGATACAGAGCAAGAAGCATTTTTTCTATTTCTTTCTTTTTTAGTGTCTTCTTTTTCTTCGATTACTGATTCTAGCAGCCTGTTGGTTAGTGAATTGGCTATAGATAGCCGAATTCGGCACTTTCTCAAACTCAAGCCATTCTGTTTTTGGATTCCCTTGATAATCAATCAAGCGGATGTAGATCTTTCTAACAGCATCATTGATCAAAGCATAGACCCTCTCATTGAGCTTTAACTCTTGAAAGTATTCTCTTAATACTCCAACATCAATATTATGAAGTTTCCTCTTGAAATCCAGGCCAGGAATACTTTCCCCATTTTCATAATTATTTGGATGATCCAAGAGAATCAAAAATGGAATATCTAAGAGATTTTGACAACAAAGAAATAGAGGTGGATGTTTCATGAAATGAAAAGGAGGACTTCTATTAGATCCCATACAATCCATGTAACGGTTCAGAAACCAAACCTCATTCTTCGTGATTTCACTACATACTGGAATGTGCAATTCTTTAGGTAAATCTAAGAGATATATTTTTTTGCATTTTTTTAAACCCATCCATTTGACATTTCCCTGAATGATTCTTTTGACAAATTGGACGAGGAGGATTTCTTAATTGGAATATGTAGTGCGGGAAGGGATGGGGCCCATGAACAGATTCAGATTCTTTTTTCAGATTTTTCAGATTTTCAGATTCTTCGCCAGCTTCAAAAGTTGATCTTTTAGATCTTTTAGAGGACCCATAAGATGATTCAGATTCTTTGTCAAATTCAGTGTCGGAACATACATCGAGAAGTGATACAATATTAAATGGAACATTATTCTTCTCCGAATCTTCTATTGGAATCAGATATTTCAAATATAATCTTATGATATTTTCCATTCTTTTTCGTCGTTCTCTAAATGCCTCAATTATTCGTCCAGGAGGGATTTGTTTGTAATGGGAGAAATGAAGCAATTCATGTTTTTCATCTTCATTTTCAATTTCATAGCTCCAGATTTCAGCTCTTGGATTGTCTGCCCATTGTCCTGGTATTTGTTTCCATAATTTCAGGTCTTCACTTACAAATATATTCAATTCTTTTCTCTGCCTGAAGTGAAACGGAGCCTGAATATGAATCCATTCCTCACCGGTCAATTGAGAAATAAAACATCGAAAATAGAAATTTGTTGTGTATTTCTCTCTTCTCATTTTGTTCAAACTGTTAATCGAATTCTCACACCTTCGCCAATTGTCAAAACTTGAGCTCCAAGTCTCTTCGTGACTTTTAAGAGCTGCATAAGCCAAGTTTTCTTCTTCTAGCTGTCTTCTAAAACCTGCCAAAACAAACAATTCAAATATTTCATAAATATCCTTTTTATGTAGATTTTCCTTCTTTTGTTCTATCCACAATATTTCCTGAATCACATAACGAGCATCTTTGAATGTCTGAGTTTCTTCTATTAATCTTGAAACAATATTGGGTGCTTCTTTGTAGAAGTTGTCTCTTTCAGCAGGATTTAGGGTTCCGAGTTTATCTCGCATTATGCTGGGGATAATTAGATTTCTACCCACCTCGAATCTCTTTTCATATTTTCTTTCCTCAGATCCAACCATAACCCATTCTGTTCTATCATCAAATCCAATTGGTTTCATCAGTTCTTTTTGGTTTTTATCTTCTGTGGGCATAAAAGGGAATGAAGAGATGAATCCATTTGCCTAGATTATTATTGGGTTGGGGAGAATGAGTCGGCGCCGAAAATCAAAGAAATTTCTAAAACTTATAGCAGACTTTGTCAAATGATAAGCGTTTGATATCCGTAGAAGGGTAACTAATTCTCTACAAAATACCATTTAAAGGAGAACTCAAACAGCGCCTCAACTCAACAAAGGATCATTTTTTCACAAAATCGATAAACTGTCATCTAGAGTAGACGGCTGGAGGGATCTTCCTGAAAATTCGGTAACTTATGTAATTGAGTGTGCTCTATCTTTTTTATATAAACACCAAAGGAGGTTTATGTGGAAGAAACTGTTCAAGCAATGAGTCGGACTTTTTGTCATTTTGATTAGCTGTGTTTGGGAATCCATAAAATCCCAAAAAAGAAAAGCTTTGTGGAATCTCTCAAAAGCCATTTTGTAAAGAAATAGTGGACCATTTTGATGAAACAAAACGTGTATTTAAAGAAGGTTTTATGGGTGCAAAAAGTTTCTTTAAATTTCGGCGCCGACTCATTCTCCCAAACCCAATATATTTGAGAAGTATTGGGTTGGGGACTATGACTCAGCGGTAAAGTTTGTCATATGTGACAGTTTGAGCACTTTCTTCAAAAGAAACCCATTTTGGTGTCAATGGAAAAGTTGTAGAGAATCAAAGATTAGGCTTATAGCCAAATTGCCACTTAGTAAGATACACTTAGTAGTTTCGCTTCGAAGAGAATCAAAAATTAAGTTCGTCCTGTCTTCTCCATTCATCCCTCAACTCCCCTCGTCTTCAATTTACTAATCGTTAGGACACATTCGTTTCGATCTTCACAAACTGCCCAGCTCTGATGGTACTTTTTCACTGTGTACTTTGTGATCAAATCTTGTAAACACATCCTTTCTGGCGTGCTCGAGTCGTTGTTGCAAGAAAAAGCGAAGAAATCTGTGCGCCAGAAAGGTGGTGTCGGCAAGATTCGATCAAAAAGTAGATCACAGAGCTAAAACGTGATCAAAGCTCCCGTAACCGCAAAGGAAAGGGACCATTTTGAAGAATTTCTCTTCCTTTTCCCATCATTGCTTGTATATTTGTGAATCTTACAAAATTCTCCCTTTTTCTCTGCGTTTAGTAATAACATATCATGGAGAGTCATAAAGTTATTTGACTGTGGATTAAAAGAAACATACAAGAAAAGGAAAATCACGGGTTTACAGCAAGGAAGTTCGAGCGTCGAGTTTTTCCAAATTTCTCCGCACGTTGGAAAGAAATTCATCCCCAAACCTACGAAACAGCCAAATCCACGTGACCCTTTCAAAAACATATTGTTATTATTAGAATTTACAAGGTTCGAGCTGCAAAATGTTTGGTGGAACTGAGCCTAACACTATCAATTCTAAATTCTTGCTGTATGAAAACAAATCACCTTTTTTTACTGTGAAAAGACGACATATTGAGTAGAGAAACCTGTTTTGTTTTGCACAAAGAAAAGGAGCCCATAAAAATCAGATAAGAGCAAAATTTTGCGATCAATCAGTTTTTTTGGCGCGTTTCTGACTTTAGCTACCTAATGCCTAATTATTAGAAAAGGAATGGCTCGTGAAGGATAAACTCTAGCTTTAAGCTTTAGCTTTAGGACCAGGAAACCTTAAGATAGTAACAGCTATGAAACTAGTAAAATTCTTCAATTTAGATGAGAGATTTGGAAATCCTACCGAAAGGATTCCGATACAATGGCCACCAACAGTTGGTAGTTGGCCATTTTCGCTTTTTTTTAAGCTTTAAGTTTTTTTTTCAATTTTTGATCCCGAAAATCTCGAAAACTAAATGAAAAACCGTTTATCATGTTAGTCAAACCTTTTATTCAAATTTCCTCCACTTTTCCTTTTGAAAAACATAACGTTAGTTTTGTAAAATTCAAATATTGATGCCTAAAAACTCGTTTCCTCGAAATTTTTCAAAAAACTGTTTAGACAGTTTTGTAGCCTGAAATCTTAAAAAAAATATAATTTCTTGGTCGGAAATTAATTGGGGATCCCGGCTGTTAGACTGAAAGTTGCGAAATCTGGGCTACGCATATGGCACATACGCGCGAAATGGTGTTCTCTATCCGTTTTGGTGTTCGCATATGGCAATCCTCTATCCGTTTTGGTGTTCTCTATCCATTTTCCATGTTTGTATAGCCATTCAACGCAGAAAAATGTGCTGAATTCAATGGTGAAAAAATTATCCAAATCCGTCTGATACATTTTTTCAAAATCGCACTTTTACAATCAACTCGCTCGCCGCGAGCAACTTTCGGCGGCTCGCTTTCAGCGTGATCTGATTTCAGCCATATATGGCAGTGGTGGCCGAGTTGCGGGGGGGTTAGAATACAAGGCAAAGACTTTTTTCTTCTTTTCTTTTCTTGGATTTGCGACTTTTTTCTACCTACTGACTTGAGAAGGATGATTGGGCGTCAAAGGGGGGGGGGGGGGTTTCAGCGTGGTCAAAGGGTCAAAGTCCCTGTGTCAACCTGTGTCAACCTGTGTCAACCGTAGGGTCTCCGTGGAGCTTTACTGGAGAAACTTTTCGTGGAGTTTCTCGGCAGTCGTGTGGTGAAAAGGACTTTGTGAAGATAATTAGTTTGGATAAAGGAGATGATGGGCGATATCAACAGGTTACACGGAAACTCTCGTCACCTTTGTTGTTTTTCTAGCTAAACAAGGGAGAAGATGTGGAGATGTTGAATGCCGTCACTTCTGACATAAACACGTCAACCGTCGAACAGCAAACGATCGAGGAGATTGTGGTGCGTGAGCATGCTTTTTGATGTATTGAATCCTAAATTGAAAGAGGCAATCCATTTCAATAACAACATTGAATCTGAGTCAAGCTATTCAAACATCAAATTTGTCTGACTTCCAGCGTTCTGCCATTCAAACAGCTTTCCCTGAGCCGGTTGATCTCAAAAGCGAAACCATCGAGGAGTAAAATACTGATTGAACAGCTCCATCACTTTTGCTCACACCAAAATTGGGTGCGTTTATTTCATGAAATAGAACAGAGATTTCCTTTAGAAGAATCGCCCCTCGAAAAGGCGATGAGGACGATTCGGGTTAGAGTTTTTACGCATTTCAACTTACCACTTTTTCTAGGAACTCAAAGCCGAACAGGAGCGAGAAAGAGCGGGCAAACAGAAAAAAAGTTTGGGAAATGAGATCCTTAAAACTAAACACAAACTTTAAACGAGCTATAGAGATCAAAAAAGCCAATAGAAGAAAGAGAAAAACGTGCTTGGGTCACAATCAAATATAAAACGATTTCTAGCTTTTTTTGCAGATCGGCGAACTCGATTGGGAGACGAGAAAACTGAAGGATCGGGTCGGCTTTTCATGACATTTATGACTTGAGTACTGATCATGCAAAAGGATTCTCCAGATTCGAGAACTCGAAGCAGAAGTGGACTCTCGAGCCTGAGATCGCTGGTCACCATCGGTTCAACGATCGATATGATATTGAAAAGCTCAAATCAGCACTCTATTATTTGATCTATTTTGTCGATTGTAAACTTTAGCAGGCGCTATTTTTAGATTATCATTGGTTTCTTTGGGTATCTGTTCGTTTCTTCGAGTTCACCTAGGAGCATAAAGAAGTTCTTTGCTAAAAAAGGTTGTTGTACTAAACAAAAAATAGTAAATAAATTTTTCTCTGCTCTCTTTGATTGTTCGTTTAGCTATAGAAGAAACGATCTTGTGAAACAATTGACAATTGATAAAAGCGTTATAAGCGTGAAGACCGTGGTCGAACAAGTCGGGCTCTCCTTGCCGAAATGAAATTTCTCGATTGAATGTTTTTTTTTTGTTTTGTGAAGCGTGATTCAAATCAATTTTTGTCGAACCGAGTCTCCGAATCGTTCTCATCTTGGCTGTGAATCGACGCCAAATCACCATTTCACTTCGCGCTGACAGTTCCGCAAAATGTCGATTTGCTAGTTTTGATGCATCGATCGAGACTCCCTTGTTTTAGTTCTTTGCATCAAATTTTGTTCATTCAGATCGACTGATCTCCTTTGATTTCGTCGAAAACACTCATGGATTGTTTTGTTTTAAACCATAAATAATCTATTTCTCCGTCAAATATGTATTTTATTGTGTCAAGACAACGAGAGCTCTCAGAAATGGTTGGTCGAATCGTTCTTTCTTTTCTCATTTTTGATTCTCCTTTGATTCTCCCAACAATTTGATCAACAAGTTTAACGAAATTGAACACGTGATGACAACGAAGCGATTACCTCTAAGTATATCAAATACTTCTATTGTGATGGTATCAGAGTCGACGAAAACCCCTGGGGAAAACAGAAAAACCTCAGATATTGCTTCCACTTCTAAAATGTTTGTGGATAAGCCTTTTAAAATTTATTTGCCAAATCATTTGCTTCTAAAGTTGGCGTCAATAAATCGCTTCCATTTTTCATCTTTCTCTTAAGTAAGTGTTTTGGATGCGTGAGTTGCACACTATTCATCAATTTAACAAAACGTGGTGGTTGTCTATCCGTATGAACTTGTGAGCAATTAAAAGGGAGAGCCAAGGTGAGGGAAATACAGGGTGTTCCACAATTACTGATACCCCGACCCCTCATCATAAAAGCATTTAAACTGTCCAGCGCGAGCGATTTATTGACCGTGTTTTAAGTTTTTCTTGTTTTAAACTTGTTTTCATTTAATAATATTTTAAAAATTGTTCTTTTTTAGAAATGGCCAAGCCCTCCAGCTTTCGCGACTTAATCATTTCTCTTCACAAGAAAGGTGTTCCGGCATGGTCGATCCGTCAACGACTGAGAGTGACAAAACAACTTGTTTTGAGAACATACAAACGTTTTAAGTCTCTTGGAACAAATCAGGATCGAAAGGACGTGTAACCTGGGCTGTTCAGACTGTTATCAAGAACGTTCGCGAGAGAATAAGGCGCAACTCGGAGAGATCTGTTCGTCAAATGGCTCGTGAAATGAAAGTTCCTCTGACTTCGATGCATCAAATCGTTCGAAAACTCTTAGGAATGAAAGCTTTAAAAAAAAAAACAAGTGTCACGGAATTACCGATGCTGCAAAAATTAAGAGAGAACAGCGTTGTGCATAATATAGATACTTTATTCAGGGGGCGAATAAAAGCGAATCGGATAATCATAACCGCATATAACATATTGCGACAATACTTTCGCAAAAAAGAAAGAAAACTAAAAATAATACGGTAAAACTACAGTTAGGAAACACAGGTACAAAAGAATTAAATATAGGGCAGATTTGACATGGCAATAAGATCTAATTCGTTTACAGATACTTTGAATTTTCCTACAGACGAGAAGATACCAGACGGGAGCTTATTCCAAACCCTACTAATACAGTTCGCAAAAGAATGATAAAGGGAAAGATGATGGGGATGGGAACAGACTGAAATTTGATAAGGATGACTACGTGTACTTCTAGGACTTTCCACAATTTTCAAGAGGCTTGGAAATTCTGGATGCGACTTAGGGTGGAAAAGAATTTTATAGCAAAAAATAAGATCAAAGTAAATACGGCGATATAAAAGGGCTTTTAAATGAAAAACTATAAGTCTAGTCTCATAATTTGGAAAAAGAGAAGAAGGGAAACAACGAGTGCATGCTTTTTTAGTGAAACACCGTTGGACATTTTCAACCAGGGTGATAAGTTTCTTAATGGAAGGTGGCATACTCTACGATGGTGGCATACTCGAGCAAAGGCCGGCAATAGGTTATAAAAGCCCCGTGATAAGCCGCGATTTTAGGGACACAAATGGGGTGAAAAAAGAAAAACGGAAGTCCCGTATAAATTTTAAGGTCATCGACGTAGAGTTTGACTTTTGTGCCTAGGGAGATCGAACTGTTAATATCATTAATATAAATAAGGGAAAGAAGAGGACCAAGAACGCTCCCTTGGGCGACTCCGCTACTAATGGGGAAGTCCTTCGAAAAAGTAGCGCCTAAGCGGACGCGAAAAGTCCTTTCAGCAAGCCAATTTGCAATCCAATTAGTGATGGATATGGGGAGACCTAGTGAATTTAGTTTGGCGATTAAAAACGTATGATTAACAGAATTGAATGCTTTGAAAAAATCAATGAAAATGCAACTAGTTTGATCGTTTTTGGCTTTAGCTAGAAGCTAGAGCGGTTTTTAAGAAAGCCGAATTGATTTTTATCAATTGCTGAATCCTTCCAAAATTTAGGTATAGGGAATAAGAAAAAAGGTAGTGCTGGTTGAAACAGGTACATTAGGTAATAGGTAATAAGTAGAAACATAATAGTAGGCGAGAAAATGAACTTCTTCTAGAAAAGCTCACTTTCTGTGTTTGTTTGAGGAAATTCAAAACTTCAGAAGCTTCAAAATGATTCTAAAACAATAAAAATATGATTTCAAAGTCTTTTTGATATCTGAAATCTGGTCAAAATGTGAATATTAATGCCTCATATGTCAATATCATCAATATCTCAAGGGAACTCTCTATTTAAACATGAATACCTCCTTTCGACGATTTCCCACATAACAAGCCCCAGACTGTAGACATCATTTCGACGGGAAGTCTGGAATAAATCCAGCTTATCATTGAATAGAAAAGAATGTAAAACTAACCGATACATCCTTCATTTGTTCATAAACATCCCGTTGTACCCCTTCCCCTTTAAACTAAAATGTAAACCCAAAACTTCGGTCGAGAGATCGGTGGGCCAGAAAGGTGATTTTTACAAGATTTGATCACAAAGTATATTACAGAGCTCAAAACGTGACCATAGAGAAAACGAGCCCAGAGCTACCGTAAAGGAAGAGTACCATTTTGAAGAAAAATTTCCCATTTTTCACATCCAATTCTCAAACAGCTCAGCACTCAATTGTTTTCATATTTCTCCATTTTTAAGAATACACCGGTTCTCCTGTTATTGTTTCCATTCATTTACGAGTTTCCTTCATTTAATGGTACTCATTCTTTCTTTTCTCATCGTTTCTTGTACATTTGTGAATTGAGATTACAAAAAAGAGAAGTTTGTAATGTGAAACTTCCTATTGTGATGGGGATCCCGGCTGTTAGACTGAAAGTTGCGAAATCTGGGCTACGCATATGGCACATACGCGCGAAATGGTGTTCTCTATCCGTTTTGGTGTTCGCATATGGCAATCCTCTATCCGTTTTGGTGTTCTCTATCCATTTTCCATGTTTGTATAGCCATTCAACGCAGAAAAATGTGCTGAATTCAATGGTGAAAAAATTATCCAAATCCGTCTGATACATTTTTTCAAAACCGCACTTTTACAATCAACTCGCTCGCCGCGAGCAACTTCTGACAATATTCCATCACTTTCATCAATGCTTGTACATTTGTGAATTTTTTTTACAAACCCCCGTTTTTCTCTGCGTTTTGTAATAACATATCAATGAGAGTAATACAATTATTTGATTATGGATTAGAAGGAAAATACAAGAAAGGGCAAATTGTTGGTTTGCAGCAATAAAGTTTCAGCGTCGATCCATCTTTTTCCAAATTTCGACGCAAATTTGCTTCCCACGTGGTGACCGAGAACGGTATTCCGGTCGCAACAGAAAGCTTTCTCTCCAATCCTCCTTTTGGTGAAACTCTGGTTTAAAGGCTTTCTCTGATTTGTGTGTGTAGATCTGAAAATTGCATTTATTACTGACAGGGGGCAGAAAGTATGCTTTATGGAAAGTTTTGTAAACATTTCAAGAATAAAAACGTTCTATTGAGCAAAATAATTTTCATTCGAAGAAAAAGAAAAAAAACAAGTGGCAAAAAGACAGATAGAGTTCAAAAATTGAACAAGTAAAATAAAAACTCTGGGAATTGTGGAGTCGGGAAGACTACGGTTAGGATACAGAGCAATCAGCATTTTTTCCTTTGTCCTTCTTTTTCGTAACTTCTTGATTTTCAACTACTAAGTCTAGCTTCTCCTGTTGGTCAGTGAATAGGAAACCGAATTCGCGCTTCGTCAAACTCAAGCCATTCTGTTTTTGGATTCCCTTGATAATCAATCAAACGGATTTTCGATCCATAATTCTTGATCAAAGCATAGACCCTCACATTGAGCTTTGACTCTTGAAAGTATTCTCTTAATACTCCAACATCAATATTATGAAAGTTCCCCTCGAGATCAAATCCTAGAATACTTTCCCCATCTTCATAATTATTTGGATGATCGAAGAGAATCAAAAATGGAACATCTAAAAGATTTTGACCGCAAATAAATAGAAATGGATGTTTCACGAAATGAAAAGTCAAATCTCTATCAGATCTTATACAATCCAGGTGACCGTCCAGAAACAGCGCCTCATTTTCCGTGATTTCACCACATACTGGAATGTGCAACTCTTTTGGTAAATCTAGCCATCTTTCCAATTTCCTAAACCCATCCATTTGACATTTCCCTGAATGATTCTTTTGACAAATTGAACGAGGAGGATTTCTTAATTGGAATATGTAGTGCGGGAATGGATAGGTCCCATAAGACCTTTTATTGGGTTGGGGAGAATGAGTCGGCGCCGAAATT